CCCCCCCCCCCCCCCCGGTCTCCAAAACATAAGACAAAAACCATAATAGAAACACCGGTCCAAAATCCTAAATTAACTTAAAAGTATATTCATAACATTAGCACAGATTATAAGTAAAATGAGCTGTTTTAAAAAATGCTTCTAATATTCTTTTCCAGCAGCACTCCTCGGTACTTTCGATCCACAGCAAGTGGATAAAGCCGGAACCTCTTCTAAAGCGCACAAAGCCAAACTGCCGGGGCGGGACCTATAACGTGTTATCTGAGTGACAACACATTTATCCAAAAGAAAGCGACAATTTCTCACCGGTAACCAATGGGGCTGAAGAAGGCGAGGCTAAGCGGGAAAGCGCCGGGAACCTTGGTAACGCCCGCGGGTACTGCACGTTAGTTGCGCGTGTGGTATCTGGGGAAGAGAAAGTTGCGGGTTGAGTCTCGCGGATCCGTCTTCGTGACTTACTTCTCGGAATGAAGATCGAGGAGGTGAAAAGCACCTCGAAGACCCAGCGCATCGCCGCGCACAGCCATGTCAAGGGGCTGGGGCTGGACGACAGCGGGGCGGCCAAGCCAGCAGCTGCCGGGCTGGTCGGGCAGGAAAACGCACGGGAGGTGAGAGCGACTCTGCCCGCTTGGGGATCCAGGCCAGGTCTTCCTCCCTGTCCCCCAAAGGTCGATCTACTCTAGCATCCCTTTTCATAACAGTGGGCGGCCCCAATCCTGGCCAGGCTGTTGGGCCCCATCAGCAGATGGCATTCAGACTGTTACTACTCCTTACCATGGGGAGGTCCGTTAAGCCATCATGGCTAATATGCACGGACGTCTGTATTTTCCATGAATGTGTTTAATCCCCCTTTAAATCTATCTAAACTAGCGGCCATCAGCACATCTTGTGGCAATGCCGAAAGTTCGTTATGCGTTTTATGAGGAAGTGCTTCCTTGGGGGGCGGAGGTCTTTCCTGAATCCATCACCAATCCATCACTCATTGGGTGCCTGCGAGTTATTATGGGAATCAGCGAAAAAGTTGTGTCTCTTTCCTACTTTGCCTGCTGTTGCCAACTCCTGTCTTTTTTGCTTGCTTATTTGATGAGCCAAATGAGCCAACTATACCGTTGAAGACAATGACCTGTGGGTGACTCTGACCCAAAGGCCAACAGTTACTGATACTTACCAGCAATGTGAGGTGGAAAGTTTTCTGATGCTATATTTTTAGTTTTCGGCCCCATAAATGTAAATACATGGCCAGGGTCCGCCATACCTGAGGGACCGCCTTTCCCCACACAGGCCCCGAAGAGCACTTCAGTCAGGGTCACAACACTGCCTAGTGTCTCAATGCCCCAAGGAGGCCAGGGTTGTGGCCACAAGGGCTAGGTCCTTTTTGGTGGCGGCTCCTACCTGGTGGAATGAGCTCCCGGAGGAGATCAGGGCCCTGCGGGACCTGGTACAGTTCTACAGGGCCTGCAAGACGGAGCTCTTCCACCAGGCTTTTGAGTAGGAGCCGCTGCCGCCACTACCACCACCGTGCGACTGCAGAGCAGTTCCGCTGTGTCGGGCTGACTGACCATCTGAAATACCGTGGCCCATGGCATCCCCCCCCCTTTTTTTGACCCCACTGGGATATGCAATAGGGAGTAAGTATTGTAGTCATTATGTATCCTGTGAGATGTGCATTTTTGCCTAAACTGTTTTAACTGTTGACTTTTATTGCACTTGTGCCTTAATTGTTTTAACTTGTTGTATTTTTATCGCACTTTTGTGCCTGTGTAAGTCGCCCTGAGCCCGCGTGCGGGGAGGGCAGGGTATAAATGAAATAAATAAATAATATAGTCTCTGTTTATCTATAGTCAAGGCTGCTGTGCTGCAAATTAATCATGATAGGAAGACTAAATGTTTGTTATGAATCATGGACAAGCCCAGTGGTTCTGCATGGTCCAGGCTTGTACATGGTGTATTTGCCTTCTTGTTGCTATCATTATTAAAGTATCTAAATTATTTACTTAAATTTGAATCAGATACATTTCCTGAAAACTCAAACGTTTATGCTTACCATATGTAGATGCTAGTACTATTGCATAGCTCCTGTGAAAAGCTGGGAGGTGTGGAGGAAATGAGGAGAAGACTGCATAGCTTGCTTTGATTAAGATCACAATATATGTTTGGGGGCTTGACCCCACATACCAAAGGAATTGAAAAATAGTAATTAAAAACTACGGTTGGAAAAGTTTGTCTGATCAATGCCCGTCACCTCCATTCTGATGCCAGACATCCCTTGCTTGAAGCCCTCCTGTTTGATGCCTAAAAATCATCCAGCTGTTTCCTAACTGCCAAAGAATAATAATCCATATCCTTTTTTTATAGTACAGTCCAAAACAGAGTTACACTCTTCTAATCCCATTGAAGTCAGTGTGTTTAGAAGGATGTAACTCTGTTAACAAGGGGCTGCGGTGGCTTAGAGGTTAAGACGCTGAGCTGCAGACTGGAAGATCTGTAGTTCGGCAGTTCAAGACCTTAGTGCCAGAGGATGGAGTGAGCTCCCGTCTCTGGCCCCAGCTCCTGCCAACCTAGCAGTTCGAAAGCAAGATATTGCAAGTAGATAAATAGGTACTGCTTCAGTGGGAAGGTAACAGCGTTCCATGTGCCTTGGCATTTAGTCATGCTGGCCACATGACCATGGAGAAGTCTTCAGACAGCACTGGCTCTTCAGCTTGGAAACGGAGATGAGCACCACCCCCTAGAGCTGGATTCGACTAGCTTTTGAGCAAATGAAACCTTTACCTTTAACTCTGTAAACAATTGTACTGTTAGTAGCGTATCCTACTATTGAGCTGCTATTCAAAGTTTGTAAACTCTCTTCCATGCTAACCTAAATCTGTTTTCCTTGTAGTTTAAGAATATTACTTCTTGGCCTGTTTCAGGGACAAGACTGATCCTATCTATCTGATATCCCAGATTCATTTTTATGTCTTTGATGTCTGCACATTCAGATGTTTCAGACTACTAAACATTAATCTATTCACTGATAACTCAGAGATTGGTAACAATTTTTTGCATCCTTCACTGTTGTCATATGTGCCATTATTAAGTAACAGCAAGAGGCAAAATTGAAAGTAGTAGTTGTCTGACTTTTTTCTGTGTGCAAACACATCTTAGGTTTTGGCTGGTGGCCTTATTGCTTGACAAAAAATGAGAAGGGGGGCTCAACCCAAGATATGGCTGTGATATATGAGGGTCAAGGTATCAAAATAAGTTATTATAAAAATACAAATATTTATTACAAGTGGAGACCCGCAAGAAACTTGCGGGATGGTTATCTCATTCGCCACACCTTTGCTTCCTCTCCTCACCCCCTACTTCTCTCACACTATTTCTCCCCTCTGCCCCCCTTTTCTTACTATTTCTCCTCCATGCATGTGACTTCCTCTCTCTTTCTGACCTGTCATCTTTCTCTTTGTTTTTCTGTCTTCCCACTTCATCACTCTCTCTCTTTCTGACCCCACCCCATCATTTTTTCTGCCCCCTCCTGCCTGCTTCCTCCCCCACTCCGCAGAGCAGCAGCGGTGGTGGTGGCAGTACTCCTAGCCACCCACCTGCTTCCTCTCCCCCCACAGCAGCAGCGGCAATGGTCTGGGAATCACAACGGATCTCCCAGCTACAGAGATCAATTCACCTTACGGCTGCCAGCTCCAGGTTGGGAAATTCCTGGAGATTTGGGGGTGGAGCCTTGGGACAGTGAGGCTTGGGGTGGCAAGCAGCCTCAGCAGGGTATGATGCCATAGACACAACCCTCCAAAACAGCCATTTTATCCCGGGTAACTGATCTCTGTCGCCTGGACAACAGTTGTAATTCTGGGTGATCTCCAGTCCTCATCTGGAGGCTGGCAATGGTGGTTCTCATGGAGGAAATGGCTGGAGAGTAGAGTCTATGACATTACACCAGTACAAAGTTCCTCCCCTCCTCAAATCCCACCCTGTGAGGTTGGTTAGGCTGAAATATGTGACTGGTCCAAAATCACGCAGTCAGCTTCCACTGCAAGATGGGGATCTGAACCTGGGTCTTGCAGACCCTACTTTGAAGCTCTAACTGCTGCACCTCACTGGCTTTCATAGGGTGGCTGCTGATGAACGGTAGCAAGCAGCCGAGGCTAGGTGAGTCGTGCAAATCAGGGGAGACCTGGCAACCCTAGACTACTGCCAGGCCTAGAGTTGCCAACCTCCAAATGGGACCTGGACACCCCCCAGAATTACAACTGAACTCAAGACAGCAGAGATCTGTCTCCCTGGAGAAAATGGCTGCTTTGGAGGGTGGACTCTGTGGCATTATACCCAGATGAGCCCTCCTTACAGTCCACCTCAAAACCTATAGGAATTCCCCAGGCTGGCACTGGCAGCCCTTTTCAGGCCTGGCCCCAAGGCTCCCTCCCTCCCTCAGAGGCCAAAAGAGGCCAGGAAAGGGCCCTTCCCCCAGTTAGAAGCCTCTTCCCCCCCCCTGAACTTTCTAATCTCTCTCTCACTGTTGATGCCTGAAGTTAGATCCCTGCAGAGGCCATTTCAAAAGGTATTGGGGGGAATCAACCCTCCCTGAAGGAATTTTTTTACTTCTTGGATTTTTCTGCAGACACAGGAGGTATACTGACTATGTAGGAAAAGCTGTTGGGGGAGAGTGAGCTTCCTCTTGGTGGAAATAAGTATCCGCACAACCCGCCCCCTGTTGGAATTAGATATATAGATGATGTACACATTAGTAAAAGATAAAATAGGTTAAAAGAAATTATCCAAATATCAGACTCTTAAAACTTTTTACATACAGAGCTGTTAGTTTCACATATACAATTGATGGGTATATCTTATGACCAGTAGACCAAGCATTATGTTTTCAATTGGTCCAAATACTCAGTCTGATATCTAGGAATTTGAAATACTTTTCTACTCTTAAATTAAATCACTTTTTAAAAGTGGAGTGCAGAAATAATTCGTAGACACAGAGAACTTAATTTAATTTTAATGCAGTCTGTGACATCAACATGCTGTATGTTCATGATGTAAGCAATGGCAGAAAAATGCACGTACAGTGATGTCACATAATCATACTGAAAAGATGGGTAAGAGACACAGAATGGGACCAGTTGTGTGTTTCCTGTATCTGTCTTCTCCCAAGAGTAAACAAAGCATCTTCTCTGTTGATGCACATATAACCAATATATGCCAATCCTTTCCCCGGTACCCTATCTAATACTATCATGTCCCAATTGCATTTAACTAAGGGCAGCCTGTGGCAAGCATTAACTTTGTTCATTTGGATTTATTAATAAGTATATATAAATGGAGACCCCTGAGTTTTCACGGATGGTAAATACCATTGTTCCCATACTGGCTCTGCTTCCCTACCCTTTTTTTCCCACTGGCTCCATCTCCCACTTTTCTGTCTCTTGCTTTCTACCCCCTCTTTGCCTCCTTCATTTGCCTGTGCTTTCCTTCCCACCCATCCTTCTGGCTCTGCTTCTTTCCTTTCACCCACGTTCTCCTCTCCTGTCAACAACTTTCTTCTTGTCCCAGCCTTTCACCTTCCTCACAGCACCCCCAGTGTCTCCTCTCCTCATGAAGGCCAGGATTTTAAACTACATGTAAGCAAGAAGTAGCATGAAATGAAGTCTCTCCAGTGTGGTCTATCCTAACCTCCACCTGACAGATAGATCCCAAGTAGCTTCTACATGTAGGGGCTTTTTAGTCCTTGTGAGGGAATTTACCGCAGCTTGATTAGTTTTACCACTGTCCATTACTGTTATATTTCAGGAAAGTCTTGGCATCCCTGGGACTTCATGGTAGAAATGAGGGAAACAGGAAAATCAGTAACTTTTATTCACTTCCTGGAATAGGGGAATAAGAATGTTCAGCAGAGAATGGAGTACACATAGCATTAGCTGTGCTCGCTCAGTAATAATGTTACTGTTGACAGTTTGAGTGCAGAGAGCAGTGAATGGACAAGCTGCTAAACTTTTGAGGTAAGCTTTTCCCCAGCCTGAGAAAAAAGTCCACAGTAAGAGTATGAGCTCCTCATAGTAAATCCAGTTATGTAGCCAATTTTCTCCAGAAAATCTCCTGGGATAATTTTTTTTAAACCTCACCTGGTGGAGGTTTCAGTCCCTCTCTCCTATATTAGCGCCCCCCCCCCCCTTTAAAACAAGCCTCTGAAACAACAGTGTCTTGTGAAAGGATCCATCTCACTTTCTGGAGGCTGAAACCATGTCGAGCTAAACTTGGCAGTTCAACAGATTTTTCTCTCCACTCTCCCCTCCCATCTGGCTCCCCGAACATTCCAGGGTTCCTGTTTGGCTGTTAGCTGCTCCCCATGCATACACACACGTATGCCCCTAAACCAGCATAGAGGAAAGGGGTGACTGACAGAAAGGGGCAGGACCTTTGCCCACCCATCTACCTTCTCCCTTGCTGTCCCCAGCTCCCCTCCTGTCCCAGCCTTTCATCATCTTCATATCCCCCACAGTTTCTCCTCCACACATACACACTTTCCTGATTGTGATTGTCAGGCACTGTTTGGGGGATTTCTCCCCCCCTGTAAACCTTGGGTTTCCCCAGTTTTGTTTAAATCTGCATCCTGCACATGTACAGCTCCATTGTGTGGATTTTTGATCTGCACTGGGGGAGCACAGCAAGCTTTAATTGTCTTGTGGCTTAAATTGTCTTTATGGTTCTGTATTTTCAAATACATTTAAAGCAAGTTACTAAGGCCTTGATAATTCATTGTCATTTCTGGAGTCCCAAATTCTTAGTTTGTTGCCTAGGAATTTGAAATTCTTTTCCACCTCAAGATAAGGCCTGGGTAATTCATTGTTTTAGTAGGCCAAGTCTGTGATATTTGAAAAAATAAAACTTAAGACTGAATGAAAAACATTTTGCTCCTCAAACAAGGTACGTTTATTTTCCTTCAACCAGTTTGCTGGCCCCAGTCACTTTAATATTTGTCTTTATGGTAACTTCTGAAGAGCCATCATTTCCTTCTCTTACTGCTATCCGGATTAATTCATATATTTATTCTTCTGTTCTTAATTCCAAGATCTATTTTTGAGGGAATTAATATATCAAGATGCTTCCTAAAATTCCACACTCACTGTGTAGAATAAAATTAAACACAGGGCCTGACCAGAGTTTCTCTTTTATATTGTCATATTAAGAGAGATATCACAGAGATGTCATAAAGTATTTCAAGCTCAAACAGTAAAAAACTTATATCTAGAGAAGGCGCTGGGAATTTCTGAGTTCTGACCTTTCCTCAGCCATCACAGACTTTGGCCAGATATGCTTCTCTTTCACAATTTTAAAGTGGTGATTGCACATATCTCCTGGATTAGTTTTTATTCATGAAATGAATAATATGTTTCTTAAATTATGTGTTTTCTCAATAAATATGGTTGGGGGGTATTGTTGGGTTTTTTGTTTGTTTCTGATTTTGTAATATAATTTTGTAGGCTTGTGGTATTATTGTGGAGTTGATCAAAAGCAAAAAGATGGCTGGCAGAGCTGTATTACTGGCAGGACCTCCTGGGACTGGCAAGGTATTTGTTTCTTAAATACAGCTTCTATCAAAAAGATATGGTACTAGCAAAATTGCAAGTATCAGTTGCATTCAGTTAGCAAAGTTTTTCTTGGAAATGTTAAACATATAAAACTGATAAAAGATGCAAGAGTGTAGTGATTTAAGTGCTGTAGTCTGCAGGACACAAATGTTTAGAGAGATATAAATGCCCATACAAACGAATAGTTTGCACACTCAGTACATAGAAGTGCTGTTTGTGCAGGCAAGGTGTCACATGTAATGCTAGACATTATGGCTTGGATGCAAAACTTATTTTCTACAGGCAAAGGCCACTTCTACTGTTGGAGGAGAAAGCAATATTTTTCCATTTTTCCCTTTCCTCTGCAGACATTCACATTACACCCAAACCTATTCCTTGGGAACTGTTGATCCCTGGAAGCAGCATTTCAGGGTGTGCAGTGGACTGAACCTGAGCGGGACAGGAAACTTCCATTCTTCTTGCTGATATCTACCTTGAGTCATTCAGAGAAAGGCACACTATAAATGAAGTAAATAAATAGATATTTATCTAATGGTGTTAAAGCCATTGATAGCACTTTTTAGCATTTACAGAGCACATTTTGAATGCTTAGTGTATATGAAGCACTTTTATCTTTACAGCAGTACCCAGAGGACACTGGGAATATTCCCATAGTGCAGAAGTAAAATGCAGTGGAGTGAATAGTGAGCAACAAGAAAGGCTTTATTTGGTTCCTAAACCTTAATAATGTAGAGTGTTCCAAAATCTGGGAGCCATGGCAGCTAAGGCTGTGTTCTCCATTGCCGTTCATCTTACCTCTGAGGAAGTGGCTCACAGTGCATGGTCCCATTGGCAGTTCTTAGTATACAGGCAAACTAGGGTGTAGTTGAGACCCAGGCTAGTTAGTTCTTTCTAGTTAAAACCAGCATGCTCAGTTTTGCCCTGAAACAAACTGTTAACCAGAGCAGGTCTTTAAAGAAATGGTAAAATAGGTCATCCCTATGAAACGCCAGTTAATAAGCTACAAACTATATTCTCTGCTAATTCCATTCAAGTAGTTATCTGCAGCTGGATCAAACAGCACTCACAAGAAATCTTACCCTTCAGCAAGGGGACAACACCATTGCAAACTAGCCAAATACTGTGAACAACTTTACCACTTTTTTTTTCTGGATTAAATTTTAGTTTGTCACACCATCCAGTTTATTCCCCTCTCCATGCATATGTTCTAAAGCTGGTCCTTCACTTGGATTAGAAATAAAATAGATGTTGTTATTATGCTGGTAGCACATCAGTCCAAATCCTGAAGCCAGTTGATAGAAATGTTGGATTACTCATCCATTTCAGTCAAAGCCACAAGCAGTCTGGATTAGGGGTGTGCAAAAAAAAATGCTGATATTTTTCAGCTTTGGGTAAATCAGACCCGAAAAATATCGGTAAATGCCAAATTTCTCCAGTAAAATACTGGTAAGGTATTCGGATTGGTGCTATGTTCAGTATTCCCAAATATATTTGGGTCCGGTTTATACCACCAGAGGAAAAGGAGGCATGTTAAAATGCCTTCTTTCCCTCTGGTAGCCAGCAGAGATTTCCCTGTCAATTTCACTCCCTGCCAGTTAGCTGGGAGTGCAATTGACTAGGGAAACCTCAGCTCTCTGCCTTCCCTTCTCCAGCTGACAGATTGTAGGGGAACCTAGGCATGTTTAAAATGCCTTTCTTTCCCTCCCCAATCTCAGGGAGGGAAAGAAAGGCATTTAAACATGCCCCCCACACACACTTCCCTGAGCTTCTCCACAAAAGCGGAGAGGCTCAGAGAAGGAAGAGGGCATGTTTGCATGCATGCCCTCTGTCTTCCCAGCCTGCCCACTGGGGAGACAAGGGCAGGCGTGCAAACATGCCTGAGTTCCCTTCTTGATTTTCTCCAGGTGCCCTGCAGCCTGGAGAAG